TTACCTTAAAAATTTATGACTTCAAAATCACACTAAAGGCTCTCATAGATACTGGAGCTGATCAAAATTGCATTCAAGAAGGCCTAATACCTACTAAGTATTTTGAAAAAACTACTGAAGGCCTTAGAGGTGCAAATAACAACAGACTCAAAATTAATTACAAATTATCAAAAGTCCATGTTTGCAATGACGAAATTTGCTTTGTAAATTCCTTCCTTTTAATAAAGGACTTAGGACAATAACTAATCCTAGGCACTCCTTTCATTACTCAATTATACCCTTTTAAAATAACTGAGAAGGAGTTAGAGTCGAAAGCCTTAGGAAAGAACATAAAATTTAATTTCCTTACCCCCATAAATATTAGTGAAATAAATAACGATACAATTATTCAATCAATAAATGTATTAAATCATAAAGAAATTTCATTCAAAAGAATAGAAGAACAGCTTCAAAGTAAGACCGTTTAGTCTAAAATCAAAACATTACAAGCTCAAATAGAAAGAAAATTTGTTCAACTATCCCTAATGCCTTTTGGAATAGGAAGCAACACATAGTTAATCTTCCTTATGTCAAAAACTTCGAGGAGAAAAATATTCCTACGAAGGCCCGACCTATTCAAATGAATAAGGAATTAATAACATTCTGCAAAGCAGAAATCAATGATCTTTTGCAGAAGGGTCTTATTAGGCCGTCAAAGAGCCCTTGGTCATGTGCGGTTTTTTACGTCAACTACCAGGTAGAGAAGGATCGTCGAGTCCCGCGATTGGTAATAAACTACAAACCCTTAAATAAGGTTTTGGAATGGATTAGATATCCAATTCCAAATAAATCAGATTTAATGCAAAGAATTTCAAATGCTAACATATTTTCAAAATTTGATATGAAATCAGGATTTTGGCAGATCCAGATATCAGAAAAAGACAAATACAAAATGGCTTTCAATGTCCCTTTTGGACAATACGAATGGAACGTTATGTCATTTGGGCTAAAAAACGCTAAATCCGAATTTCAAAAAATTATGAATGACATTTTCAATCCTTTTCAAGACTTTTCAATTGTTTATATTGACGATTTTCTGATTTTCTCTCAAAACATCGATCAACATTTTAAAGATCTTCAAGCATTTTTGGCAATAATCAAAAGAAACGGTTTAGGTGTATCTAAACACAAAATAAAACTTTTTCGACAAAAATCCCTTTTCTTGGGTTTGAAATTTATTTGGGTCTAATTAAACCCATTCAAAGATCCATTGAGTTTCCCTCAAACTTTACGGATCAAATCACGATAAAACCCAACTACAAAGATTTTTGGGATGTCTCAATTATGTGTCTGATTTCCTTCAAAATATCAGACCCATTTTCAAACCACTTTTTGAAAGGCTAAAAAATAATCCCAAGCCCGGGACTGAAGAACACACCAAAACATTCCAAAAAATCAAATCCCTTGTCAAATCAATTCCGTATTTATCTCTAATAAACTCGATATCGGATATGGAGGAATCCTAAAACAGTCCCTTGACAAGAAAGAATCCATTGTTCGTTTTCATTTGGGAATATAGAATTCTACTAAAAAAAAATTACTCAACAATTAAGAAAGAAATACTTTCGATAGTAGTTTGTGTACAAAAATTCCAAAGTGATTTAATTAACAAAAGCTTTGTGATCAAAACGGATTCTAGGGCATCTAAATTTGTTTTAGAAAAAGATGTCAAGAGTCTTGTACCTAAACAAATTTTTGATAGATGGCAAGCCATTTTACCTTGCTTCGACTTCCAAATTTTGCCTAAAAAGGGGGTCGAAAACCCTTTGGCGGATTACCTTTCAAGAGAGTTCTTACTCTCCAATAAAAACTCTCCCTAGCCAATCTCCTTCTCCCAGTGATGACCGGAAAGAAAGCGATAGAAAAAAGGAAAAAAGACCATTTCTTCTTCAAACACACCTACTCCAAGGACATCCGATAGCTATGCAATTGATGTTGGTTTCACATTGGTGACCAGGTCTAGAGCAAAGCTTTCTAAAAAACAAGCAGAGGTTATCACTCCGACGAGGCCTTCTGCCTCTTCAACACGGTCATCTGCCGTTACTCCATCGAGACCTACAGTCTCTTCCACTTCAAAGGGACCTTCTGTCCCCTCAACCTACTCGGACGCGGTTGTTCCCGTTCAGTTTTCTCCAGTTCCTGAAATCAGGACCTATTTTCAAAAATTTGTGTCTATATCGGAAGCTCTGGTAGAACCAGAATACGATGACCCAAAAATCAGCGAAGTCGTCAAAAAAGCCTATCCATCGAGATTCTTTTATATCTCGGAAGACCTTCATAAGACCAGAAGGTTTTATGAATTCATTTTGGTAGACACAAAATCCGTCGAAATTACTCATATTCCGAGTCGCGATGATCCTTAAAAAATCGCGTACTCCAAGTTAAAAAATTTTAAAGTCATGAATCCGACGTACTAGAATCAAGATCCGTACACGGAAAAAACTTTTTCAAAACCATTTGTTCCACACTCCTACTCATACAGATACTATCAGATGGCATGGTTCAATGTCATTTGGTATCAAAATTATGAGCACTCATGGTTTATCCAATTTTGCCAGAATGCCCATAAAATTCATTACCCATTTTGGTTCATCATATAGTGGAAAATCTTTGGATCAGCCAAATATATATTTCGTGTTCCAATACAAGAATCCTTCAACTACTTTATTCAAAATATAACTAAAACCCCATTTCCATTAACCATGGGCTTTGCGTATACTTTTAAATTCCCTGGATTTTAACCTGGAATTTTCAAATAAAAGAAACGGAAGACCAAATAAAATAGGTCTTCAAAACTATCAAAATCAAATGGTGGGTTAAATATACTTATACCCACGCAGATATCAAAGCAGTAGAGGTATGGCTATCAGAGAATGGCCACCTTCAGGATTTATCCAAGAAGAGGACCTCTGAATTTCTTAATTCAAAGTCAAAGTTACTCGCTGCATTAGCCTAGACAACTTCGGAAGCTAATTTTCAAAAGCTTCTTCAAGAGGCTGCATCTGTCGGTTCGACATCCTCTCCTTCTATTATAGAAGAAGAAGAAGAGGAAGACACTATTTATGATCTCAATAATCCTTTTTTGGATTCTCGACTGCCTTTGTAAACATTTTCATCTCAAATGACTGAATAATCGTTAAATTATTTGTAAAAAAAAATAAAAAAAATAAAAAAAACCTTCAAAATTAATACTCGAAGTCGATAACTCATTGATCAGAGAGGATATTTTCGACGAATTATCTAGAAAATTTAATCTCCAAATCACGACGATTTTGGAATAAGAATCAAGCAAGGTTGAGCTATGAATCGTAAGTTATAAGTGTTTAGATTTTGGGTCTCCTATTCTAGTATTTCTTCCAAATTCAAGAACAGTTCTCCACCATTTCCCTTCAAATTTGTTCCTACAGTTTCTCAACAAGATTACCCAAAAGTTCAATTAAGGATTAGAGTGTTGAAAGTGGCTAGAAACCATTCCTCCAATTCAATCGGTCATTGAAGAGTTTCAAGGGAAATTTGAAAATCCAATCCGAGGATATATGATAATTCATCAAGCAAGGACGATCCCAATAAGTATCTGCACCTCCAATAAATGTTTCCCTAGAAGACCACAAAGAGAAATAACCTCGGAGCCCAATGAAAGAAAATCAGTTTCAGGCTTAAATTGGGGGGTAAGTGTCGAATTCCTATCTAATGTTCCTTTTTCTTCAAATTGAGGATTCATTTAGTTTACGAGGAAGAAGTTGAGTAACTTTGGTGAAGAAATTGAGAGGTGAAGCGTCATAGAACAAGCTACCCAAGAGATCGATTTTCTGGTGTTTCGGGTAACTTGCAGATTGAGGACGATTCTCTAAAATAAGGACACACACTCAATGTCATTCCTATAAAACAATTCCTTTAGTTTTGGGACGAACTATGGAAGAGAATATCTTAGGCTAGGTTCCACGAAAAGGTATGAAATCAATCCCTAACTCTTTCTTACAACACCATATTTAAGTTTCTTGAAGAAATTGAGGGGAGAAACAATGTGAATGGTGCTATGGAGCTTGAGTTTCAGACAACGGTGCAAAGGATGCACGCGTCTTCTTCTTTAACAGAGGAAGAAGACGATGACGTGACTAGTTAGTTGAATTGGCCCTATCACCCAAAAAATCCGACCTTCCCATGATTTTTTATTTTTTATTTTATTTTTTACCTGCTTCTAGACTAGTTCTTATGGATATTTTATGGTTTCAAAAACTAGACACAATCAGAGGTCTTGGAGATCGTATCGCATAGAACACATCAAACCCTAGATTAAAGTATTAGAACAGGATTGAGTTGTTCACTGACTACAGTGATTCATAGGTCTCCTATGGGGACAAGAACAAAGGCCTTTGGTACAAAACATTGAACCAAAAGGGGTTATCCAAAAAAAACAAAGAAAAAAAGCATTAGAACATAGGTCTTTGGTACAAAACATTGAACCAAAAGGGTTATCCAAAAAAAACAAAGAAAAAAAAAAACATAGGTCCCTTCAGTATGTATCCACATGTTGCAATTGTCGCACTGGTGGTTGACGATGTGGTTTCATCTAGTTATACTTTCACTTTTGTCCTGCTACGATTGTCGATGTTGTTTGCCCTCGAAGTTCTCGGACTTTTGCTTCCTCAATAGCCTTAGTTGCTGTCTGGACACTTGTCACAGCCGAAAATTTGAATCTCGAAATCAAGGGCTGGACCAATAGACTATGCAATGAAAACATGTAAAAGCAAATGGACTAGACGAAATTACAAAGAAAAACTTCAGCAATTATGTAGAAAGTTTGAAATAAAAAACAAAGTGTTCGAGTAGCATATGAGTTCAATGAAAAGTATGTAAATGGTTTACAAAACAATGCATGACAAATCTAAACAAAAGTATGCACAGACTCCTAGACGCCCGGGACACTCCTCTGTGGCATTAAGATTCAGCATGCATTCCGGCCTCGAACCATGGTATCACTCACCTGAAAAAAAAAAAGAGTAGAACGGAATTAGTATAAAAATACTCAATAAGCAGCCTACTTGTAGGCTCTTTTCGCATCCTTATCTTCGTAGGTAACCACGGTCTTTCTCGGGTTTCTAAGGATCGTATGGCTGGATCTGAATACGTGACTCTCTCTGAACATCATTCGTGGAGATTAGCTGATGACCCTCACACGGGACCATACATCTACTAAACGGGGTGCGACCCCTTGTGTGCCGGTCAGCTACTGAGTCATCCTATGTGGCTCCACGTCCCCTGCTCAGGGATGAGTTTCTACGGCCCAAGAGTCCTATTCAGAAGACCCCTTAGCTATCACCACTAGGTCTGGGCACCTGCCACACTTCCCTATTCGGATCTGCTAAGCTCAATGATCACCGTACCGGAGCTCTATCTCGACGGTATGGTATCGGAGGAGAGAGGGAAGTGGAGGTTCTGATGATACTATCTACATTGCTCAACTCTAGTCGGCTACCTACTGTTACCGTGGTGACCTATTATTCTTTCTAGGGTGGATCTTGGTGGCTTAGACTTGATTCATGTATCTCTAGGATTCTCGTGTCTGGTCTCACAAACCTATCGGGTTTGGAATTCTAGGCTTTGGTTCCACCGGTAATCATTTCGAGGGTTTTATTGCACGGTATTCTAGAGGTTCCCCAATCTAGGGTCTCATCTAGCCTACTTAGTTACAAGCACCCTAATTTAAGCTCATAATTTCTTCCTATTCATCAAGAAAGTTAACACAAGCAATCGTCATGCATAAAAGTTAACACGCAGTAGTTCATGCAATATTAACAAACATGCTCAACAGGAAGATAACGTCCATCTTTACCCGAAGCGCAGATTTCACAAGTTTCCCATCCTCTTCATGCATACATACTTTATGTGAATCTCAATCAAACAGATTTAATAAACATTTCATATCTAGCTTTCCATAATCACCTCATATTCGCAGTTTCTATACTAATATGCTAGTCCGGCTCGCTAAATTCATGGGTGGTAGCATGCATGCTTGTTCCTAGCGGATCCTACAAATACTGCTCGTAGGAATCCAAATGGCTACTTACTTAGTTGACGCGTGCCTTTCCGAGTTCGAGTTTTCTTGACGGAATGGATTCAAACAATTCTGGAATTTCCTTGACAAATCCTAATTCACATAATAATAGGGTCAGCATCAAAATCGGGTAGGAAAACAAGCAAATAGAGACCAAATGAAAGAAAAACAGTGCCTCACGCGCCCCCATGCGCGTCACACGCACCCTGGAGGGTTTATACGCGCAATTCCTACTCGCGCGTGCCCACACACGGCTTCCCGAGTAGACACGGGTCAAAGGCACCAGGTTGGGCGGTTCGTGTGCGGCGCAGATTAGGCTGGTCGGATCTGCGTGCCTGACGCGTGTCCGCTGCCGAGTGAGGACGCGCCTCACTAGCCGGTGATCAACACGTGTCGATCACCAGTTCTACCGCGCTCCTCTGCACGCCGATCGATGTGTGGCGACGTCTCCACCCTCTCTCCTGTGTTTCTTTTTCAATTTTCCAAGCCTCTTTCACATTTTGATCTATTTTCTTCCAATTTTTTTATCTTCCAATCCGTAATCCGATTCAACAGATTTTCTTCACGAACCTTGTATTTCTCATATTCCAGATCTTAATGTTTGAGTTCGAATTCGGAGAAAAATACGAGTTCTTACCGAAAATCACGTTTTCTTGAAACTCCGATTCGAACGCCAATCTTGGCCGCCTTCACTCTGAAACTTAACCAGATAACGCTGTTGAGGGTAATAGTTCAAGGATCAACACAAAACATTGCTAATACACGAAAATCTTGATGACTTCTCAATCTAGACCCTCGTGGACTAACCTAAAGTTCTTGGACGTTTTAACGAAATAGGAAGATACGATTCGTGAGAGCACCTTGCCTCGGACTATTGACGGTTTAGATTGAGGACTCGGATCTCCAGCGTCAGTTCTGATCCGATCTCCCCCTCCTTCCTCAAAAACCCTAATCTTCCTTCCCTCTTCTTTCTTCTCTTTCTCTCCCCTCTTCTTTCTCTTTTCCAAATTATGACTCAACCAAATCTGACCCCTCAAGTAATAAGGTCAAAATGACTAGTTTGCCCCTATTGTGACCTAGTTATTTTATTTATTTTTTCTTTTTAAAAAACTCGGGCGCTACAGACACTAGCATAGGTGGTAAGGGCTATGACCTCAATTGTACTATAGATATTCTCGTCTAATGTTAGGACAAACTTCTGAGCCAACTTCATCTCTGTGTCAACCAGTTGAGGGGTAAACTGCTTTAATCTTATAAATTCTCTCTTATAGGTAATGACAGTGCAACTATTCTGCGTCAAATGGGTTAATTCCTTCTATTTCGGAAGTTCGGTTGCGTCTGAGTAATATTCTTCCGCTAAAACCTCCCTAAACTAAGAGCAAGAAATTTAATCTCTATAGAGGATAAGGATCTTCCATGACCCAATATTTGAGCTTATCGGAAGTAAGGATTGCAACTTTGGTTGGCTCAACGAGTATAAAAAGGCAAAAAATTTATCCCAAAACAAAACATAAAGTATTTAAAATATAATATACATATATGTTTACATTATATCAAAAATAGAGTTCTAACTTAAGTAGTTTTAGGCACAAAATAAAGAAATGACACAAAATATATAAAACGAAATGACACAAAATATATAAAACAAAAAGGGTTGGGGATGACAAGTAAGGCTAGTCTATGGCACTTTGTAGTGTCCTCCATACTTAACTAACTCCTTATAGCAGAAAAATATGAAAAATGTGGATGAGTATAAAGACTAAATAAGTAGCCTATCAATAAATTCTTAATTGTGTCTTTTCAGTGTGTTAGGGTACTGTAATCTTTCTTATCATATTTTTATTCTTGTTCTTAAAACTTAGGCCAGGTTTTTTTCTTTGTCCGTTCCTTGGTTCTTTTTCTGTTCCTTAAGACAGTTTCCTAGAATTTAAGGTACAACCATGAACCTGATAATCCATATCCATTAATTCATGCATTGCAAGGAACTAAGTCGTCCAAGGCTTCTTGCATTCATGCATTAAACCTACATTCATGTGTTTTTTGCATTACAATTTGAAACCCACACTAAAAGCTTCTTATGTTTCAAATTGTGTAATCTAAACTTTACGTCTAAAAACCTATGTCTCAAACTTCTTAAGTTTCAAGCAGCATAATTCAATACTTACACCGAAGGATTTATATGTTCCAAGCGACATAGTCTAAAACCTGCATCGAAGGCTTCTTATATTCTAAGCGATGAAATCTGAAAACCTACCTCCAAGGCGTCTTACTTTTAAGTGATGTAGTCTAATTCATGTTAGGACATAGTTATAGAATATAAAAACAAACCGTTTTTGCAATTAAACAAAAAAAAAAAAAAAAACATTACGTAAGAGATTTGAACTATTGTAAGGAAACCTCATGTACTTAGCAAGCACATGCCTTAACCACTTAGCCAAAGCAACAATCTTTGATGGATGATTGATGGCGGGAGTATGAACCAATTTTTTATGTTTTAATACCGTTTCAAAATAGTATATTTATTTGTAAACATTTTATAACATCCATGGACATGTATTGTACGTTTCAAATTCTTAATGTATATTTATATTTCTAATGTCTTGAATTACCTTTGACTCATCTATTTTAAAAAGAAATAATTTTATCACTGTTTTACCCTCAAGTCTATGTAGCAATTGGTGATTCAAAGTCTCAAAAAGTTGATCGTTACAAAATTAGAAAGTGAGGCTTCATTCTTCAAGTTCTGAAATCAACATTTATAAGAGAAGTACTTATCTACTTTTTCTTACTGGGGAATGAGTTAATTTTATCCCCCAAGACAATGTTTTTGTACCCTATTTGGTAAAATTCCCAAAATTGCACGTATATTAAAGACACTACAAAAGTCATTACCATCCAACAAATCAAAAGAGAAGCTCTCATAGTCAACAAAGCACAACTTACTCAGGGTTAAGATTGTGTCACATATGATCATATTGTGAAATATTAATATGCTCTAGCCTACCCTCCACAACTTACAAAGTAAGAAAGTAAGTTTCAAGAAATGTGAGACTTTCTATATTGTATTCAAATGGAGACTTTCTACAATTGATTGAATATTGCTACTAAACAATTAGTGCAAGCGTTGGCAAATGGAGTTATTTTATCAAAGACATACAATGAATCTTATGAGAATCTAGAAAGAATAGCATCTAACAATTCTCAATAGGCTGATGTGAGGAGTAATCCTTGAAACAACACCTGAGAAGTACTTGAAGTTGATGCTTTGACCTCTATCAATGATCAATTAGCTTTTGTTACTAAAAAATGCAATATTGGTTCAAAGCTCAATGACTAATGTAATATTCGAGACTGTTGCTATAATGAGTCAAACAAAAGCTAAATCTTGTGAATATTATGGAGAAGAACATTTTTATCAATGTTCGAGTAATCCGGCTTCAATTTGTTTTTTTTTTTTTTTTTTGGGTATCAAGTTAATTAAGGAACCAAGAAAAATAATCCCTTTTCAAATACCTAGAACACATGGTAGAAAAATCATCCAAACTTCTCATGGGAGAGACAAACCTCATACAATCAACAACTATCACCTATAGCAAATTACACTTACGATTTTGGATTACAAAATCAATTGGCATATGGTCCTCAACAAGGCAACACCCGAGAGAAAGGAACCAACCAAGCTCAACACATATCGGGAACATTGCTTTAGGGTCTGATAAAGGAATATATGGCAAAAAACGATATGATACAGAGTCAACAAGTATCCTTGCGAAATTTGAAAGTTCAAGTAGACCAATTAGCAAATAAGTTACAAAATAGACCTCTTGGGAAGCTATTAGCAGATACCGAAACGCAAAAAAGAAAGGAAAATGAGCAATGTCAAGAAATAGAATTGAACAGTAAGAAATACCCCATAAGATAGGTGAAATTAAGAAAATATGCAATATTCATCCTTAAAGACAGCTGACATACAGTAGAGAAAGTTGAAAAGTGCTAAACAAAAGATGCACAACAAAAATTATGCACAAATAGTGCAATCTTTTAAAAGGAAAACAACAATCGGCAATGAAAAAGAGGGCATAACACACATACCAAAACTTCATTTTCTACAAAGAATAAAAGGAAAGAAGGAGGAAGGCCACTTTAAGAAGTTCATGGATATATCTTTGGAAATTCATATAAACATACCATTAGTGAAGCTGTGAAACAAATGACAAATTATGTCAAATTCTTGAAGGATATTCTCACTAATCAAAGAATGTTTTAAAAATTGAAGGTGTTAGCGTTGAATGAAGAGTGTAGTACAATACTGAAAAATAAAATCAACTACACTATACATTTAGTGGGATCTTGTGTTTCAATATTACACTACACTCTTCATTTAGTGCCACCACCTTGAAGTCTTCAAACTTTCTTTTATTGATGAGCACATCCTTCAAGATTTTTACATAATTTGGCATTTGTTTCAAAGCTTCCACTAATGGTATGTTTATATGAATTTCGTTACGAATATCTATAAACTTATCAAAGTGGGCTTCCTCTTTCTTTCTTTTTATTATTTGTGGAAAATTTGGTGTTGGTGTGTATGTTCTGTTTTCTTGTCCATTGCTAACTACTGTTTGTATTTTAGGAGACTACACAGGTTCTGCATAATTTTTTATGTGCTCTTTCTCTACACCAGTTTCTACATAATTTTTGTTATACTCTTTCTATACAGCAACTTCTTGAGACTGACTATCAGCATGTTTTTTAATTTTTCATCCCCTACTTAGTATTTCTTTCCCACTTCTCAACTCTATTGTGTTGCATTGCTCTTTGCCTTCTTTTTTTTGTGTTTCGGCGTCTGTTGGTAGCTTCCCAAGAGGTCTATTTCATAACTCAGTTGCTAATTGACCTACTTGAATTTCCAAATTTTGCAATAATGCTTGCTAACATCACTTTTGGCCATATATTATTTTCTTAGGCTCTCAAGAGATGTTCTTGGTGTGTGTTAATCTTGACTTGTTCCTTTCCCTTAGGTGATGGCTTGTTGAGGATCATATGCCAATGGATTTTGTAATCCAAAACTTGGAGGTAATTTGCTTTAGGTAGCATTTGTTGGTTTTATAAGCATTGTTCATTCCATTAGAAATTTGGATGGTTTCTCCACACCGGATTATAAGTATTTGAGAAGGGATTATTTTTCTGGTTGCCTTGGCTAGCTTGATTCCCCACATAAAAATTTGAGGCCAGATTTATTGGACATTGATCAAAAGTGTGTTTGTCTCCACAATATATACAAGATTCAGGTGTTGTCTGGGTCATTGGTACAGCAGTTTGGACTGGTGCTTTGGTCACTAAGCCTTGTCACAACACTAGATTTTGTAGGATATTATTCATCGAAGCTAATTGAGCGTTGATGAAAGATAAAGCCTCAACTTCAAGTACTCCTCGGATCTTCTTCCCTGGATTGCTCCTCACATCAGCGCATTGACAATTATTGGATTTATTCTTTCTAGTATCTCATATGCTTCATTGCATGTCTTTGACAAAATAGCTCAATTGGCAGAACCATCCACCACTTGTTTAGTAGCAATATTCAATCCATTGTATAAAGTCTCCATTTGTATAAGATGAGGTAATCCATGGTGAGAACACTTTCTAAGCATTTCCTTGGATCTTTCCTAAGCTTCCCTTAATGTCTCATCTTCTAATGTTTGAAAAGCAACAATCTCATTTCTGAACCGTGCGTTTCTAGTGGTTGGAAAATACTTGATCAAAACTTTTTCTGCTAGACTATTCAAAGAGTCAATTGTTCCGGATGCTAGTATTCAACCATGACTCAAAACCATCCCTCAAAGAATAAGGATATAAACTCAATCTAATCACATTTTGGTTGACTTCTTGGAATCTAAATGAGTGCTACCTCAAAAAAAAAAAAAAAAAAAAAAACTTTAGATGTAGGTGTGGATCTTTAGACGATAGTACATGAAATTTTTCAATGTTTTGCAATATTTGAAACATCACGAAATTTAGCTCAAAAGTGGTTGCTTGCATTTCCAGTCTAATAAGGCAGGGATATCTTCCAAAACTAGGTGTGTGTATGCTCAGATCACTCTTTCTCTGTCATCTACTAAGTATAGCATCACTAGCAATTCTCTTTTGATTAGCCATCAATATTGGATTTTCATATTCCCAATTCAGTTGAGCTCCAAGTTCTACATGCTGTATCTTTCTGTTCTACCATTTTCATTTGCTCCCTCAACCTTTGCCTTAAGGTCCTCTCTATTTTAGGATCCAAAATAAATTCCAAATCCGTAGTTGGATTCATACACAGAATTCTTCAGCAGTAGAAAATTAAGCTTAATACGGCTTCTTTTTTGCTTCAACTCACGAAAATCTACCACAAGTAAAATAACAAAATTAGGTTTCCCAGTAACGACGCCAAAAACTTGATCGCTTGTGGGTGTATATAATAAGATGATGTAAAATTCACAAGAATAAGTGCAAGTATACACTATAACAAGTAGCAAGTAATAAGTAAATCGTTACGTCTTATATTACTTTTCATAATTATTTATCATTATTAAGGTCATGAGATAAAAACTGGTTGTGGAAACACAATGTTATGTACAGTGAAGGTAATTTATTTGAAGATCCATCCGTGCTAAATTATTTTACACCAAATGTTGAAATATTTCTTTGAGATTTGCGGCAGATTAGAAGAAACAAACTAATAACATATGTAACAAGAAACAAAGAAAGAAAAAGAAAGGAAGGACACAAATAAAAAATTTGCTTCAGAATTGCTATAAAAATAGGTTATCTATGCATACGTGCATTTTTTTTCTTGTGAATTTTACACCAATTTATTATATACATTCATGAGCGATCACACACCCAGACAATGCCAAGGCACAAAAATTGCTAAAAACAAAGGATCGAGACTCCAAAACCAAAAAACCCCTAAACTTCCCACGATAAACCCATATTCATGATTCAAACTATGATTAGGATTAAAATCAAATCACATATGATTAACTTGTAAAATATTAATCTTCTCCGGCCTTCCCTCCAAAGTCTACAAAGTAGTAAAATAGGTTTAAAGAAATTCATAAGTGGCACTTTGTGTAGTGACCCTATTTTTCCTTTAAAAAATTAAGTCGTTATAACATGCATGAAATACCTAATATGTACAAAAATTTAAAAAAAAAATCTTTAAAATAATATAATAAAATGTTACCACGGACTAAAACGTTCATAAAATTAATTTAAACTAACAATTGATTCAATAAAACAACAAAATTAAAATCAAACGAAAAAGAAAATCGAACGCCGTGATCTAACCTAAGAACTACAATATATGATGCAAATGCAACTACTTCAACTTTATTTCCATGACCTTTACAAAGATGTTGCCACGTTCCTAATAAAATCTTTAAAACAATAATGCGAAAAATAAATCATGTAAAGTTTGGATAAAATAATGAAAAAATAAAAACATTGACGTGAACTAACTAAGGACTACTAAATAGACATATATTGTGTCTACCCTACCTCTAGTTCCATGGCTTTCGTCACGGCGTCGCCATCCGTACCTTGGTGCCTAACCTTTACCTGAAAAATAAGAGTATGACGTAGTTTAAGTAGTTTAAGAAATACGTAGTAAGTAACTGCACATTTGGTGTCTAGAAATACAAACACATGTGACATGATAGGTTCTAATGACATTGCCTTAGATAGCTTTCTAGTTCCGGCAAGGTTGGATGTATAGTACTTTCCTATACGAGCACAAGGACCCAACTGAGGGCTCATGTATTGCCTAGGCCTGTCTCAATGGACTAGCACTTGCTAATGTGCTTTCAGACACCATGGAGGGAAAGGGCCTACGTAACATCGCAACGAACATAATTGTCGTAAGTCGTAAAGTACACATTTGTACTAATCATAATAGAAAAGTATCACGATGCATATGACACACAAAAATTCATGAGGTCCCCATGCCTTAAAATAATGACATAAATTTATAATGCAAGTCAAACCTCCATTCCATTTATAATGTAATTATGCAGACATAATTCTTACCAAATCTTTCATATACACGTCATAACACATCATAACACATCATAGATTATCATCATAATAACATATTATTATAACATGGTATAGTCACACTATAGTCTAGCTTATAAACATGACATAAAACAACATTGGATAGCATAACAATCATAATTATGACATGCTCAAGGGACACACGTATGCGTTATAATACGCAATACAATTCATCCAACCAAGCAAATAATAGAGTCACTTACTTGATAGGTTTAGCAAGGGTTGTTAGTTTATCTTTGGAGCTAGTCTAATTTGGTGGTGGCTTAATGGGACATTTTGGGATTAATAAAACTTATAATATGTTGCATGAACGCTTCTTTTGACCGAAGATGAAGCACGATGTTTACAAGTTTTGTAGTAAAAAATAATTGTTTAGGGATGATGTAAAGCATGTTACTGGCTTATTCTCTAGGGAAGTAGTAAGATTACATGGAAACCCAAAAATAATTGTTAGAGAGAGGGATGTTAAACTTTTAAGTCACTTTTTGAATGTATTGTAGGGTACGTTGGGTACCAAGTTGTTGTTTTCAACTACATGTCATCCTCAAACTAATAGACTGACGGGATATTATTTCTAAGAATATTAAGTTTTGAGACGTAAGTTTGTCATTTGTAGAAAGAGCAATTCATAGTACCACTCATTGTTCTCCTTTTGAAGTTGTTTATGAATCTAAGCTAAGACGACTGGATTCATGGGATTTCAGTTCTATCAACCCATGCACCAAGGGGAACTGAAATGTAAGTGATTTTAGCATTAATCTGGCAAGTTTTAAAAATTTCTAAAATAAAACTTTTCTTTAGGTAACTTTTAAAATTCCTAATTCTCAATCTTACTTTTATAGTTTAAAGTAGAGAAACATATTTTTAAAATTTTTACTAATAAATCTATATAATGACTATAATAATATTTTGGGATAATATTTTGGTTATATATGTATTTAAATAATATATAATTTTAGTAGTGACACAATATTCGACGCCAGAAAACTTTATTTTAAATAATTTAATCATCTTTTATCATTATTTTCTTAATTTCTTTTTCATTTTAAAAGTGAACCCGATTCTAAATAATGAATGGTCCAGCTTTAAACTTTACCTAAAAGGAATTAATAAAATAAAAAATCAATTACAAAAGCTAATAGGGAAGAGTACTGAGAAAATTAAGAAAGTTTAGGTGATTGTCCCACCCTATTATGGAAGATATGTTGCAATAACCGAAATTTACACCACACTTTTAACTAATTGTGTTTAAATATAACTAAGTACCACTCATTTTGGCTCTATTTATGTGTATATAAAAGATAGAATCCAATTAAGTTTGTAAAAAAGGGTGAACTATCTTTGAGAAGAAAATGAAGTCTCTAAGCATATTCTATTTAATCGTGTTGGTTACCTTCGCTGTGATGAAACTTTGTTTTGCAGAATCTAAGTTACAATTACCGTTCTCTCGATGGAAAGTGACTATTTTAAATGGGATGACTGCTTCAACTTTAATTGTTCATTGCAAGTCAGCAAATGATGATCTGGGCGAGCACGTACTCCGCACTGGAAATAATTACAACTGGAGTTTTAAAGAAAATTTTTGGACTTCTACGTTGTTTTGGTGCCATTTTAGCAGCAACTATGGACAAGTTAATGGAAATGTTTTTTGGCCAGTAAAAGGGTATTGGTTTAATGATGAGTGTGATGATAATAATTGCATTTGGGCAGGTCGAGAGGAAGGTATTTACTTGTATTTTGGATCTCTCAATATATTCAAGTTAATGTATCATTGGAAATGATGCACTTTGACTTTCATTCAATTTCAATAAATAATTTTATGAATAAAAATGTTCGTTATCTTTTTTGAGGTTAAAAGGTTCAATTGTAATCAAATTTGATTTTCAAAATTTTAAAACTTATATTATATCTTCAAACTAATTAGTTCCGATAGGATATATAATTTATATATAAAGGATATATAAAGTAGGAAGTTCNATTTAGGAACTTTCATGATTGAATAAGGAAAGAGAAGACGACTACTTTAGGTTTGTGTTGTAAGAGAAAAGTTCTCAAATTCTCAAACTCTAGCTTGGCCACAAATCAAATACAGTAAGTCTTCACTCGAATTTTTTTACTTAATTTAAGGTCACTACTTTATACGTGCCGTAAACATTAAATGCAGAAGACTTCATTAAAATTCCATAAAACATAACCTTTATCTTAAAATACAATCATGGACTTGTTGGGATATGGAGCCTGATGCAAATCTGGTACAGATATATTTGGAAGATATTTCGTAAAGATATGATTTGATAGACATATATTTGTTAGATTATATGTTGTAGGTTTAAATCTTTGGAAGCTATATTTAGTAAATTGAAACCATATATTACCACGGCAGTGCTCTCAAAACCTACTTCTCTTCATTGTCTGTATTTTCTGTTGTTGTACATACCTTACATCATCAATCATAAAACCTTTAGCCAATATTAATCCTTGTATTTTCTCTCTCTTTTTCTTTGTGTTCATCTTGATCGAGTGTGTGCGTTGTTGAGCGATCCTAACGGTTGGTATCAGAGCTAACAACGGGTATCAATCCTAACAGAACTTATGTGTTTCCAAAACATCTTTAAAACGACACAAGAAAAAACTAAATAAAATAAATAAGCGTTTAAGTTAAAAACATCCTATTCTAGCCTAAGTTTAAGAAAATAAATACCACTATCCTATGCATGTGCCATGGTCTCGAGTTGCGATGCCATAGTTAGCCGTACAGGAATGCCTTGCCTTGACCTGAAAAATGTAGTAGCACATGGATTGAGTATTTAAAGAAATACTCAGTAAGTGACCCCACTATTGAGGTTAAATGCAAGAACATGCGAATGCAATGATGGGACCTATCCTTTCAATCTATTTACCTACGATATTGTCCTAATGGGTAATTTGGACGTGTACCATATACTCTACACATAGCTTATACATGCGAGTATGGGCTCACCAGTCAGCTCGCACACCGCTGGGCCACTTTCATTGTCGGGCAAGCATACTCTGGGAGCTCCTTAGGCTGGACACCCAATAGAACTAGTGTAACGCCCCTGATTTTCTTTAACCTAATTAGTGACACCACCCATGCATACATAACTCATTAAGCGGAAGCTCATCATAAATAATCTTGGAAGAGTCTTTCATAAAGATTCATAAATCCAAAACAAAACCTAAACTCCAAAAATTATAACTGAATTCAAAATAAATTCAAATAAAACCATACTCAATGCTATGACTTAAAACAATCTAATAAAAGTAATTTCTTAAAAATATTCCGTCTCCAACTTCCATGGGGTTCTCTGCTCCGTTGTCAACCGTACATTGTCACCTTGCCTTTACCTAAAAAAATGTAGGTAGCACGTGGCTTGAGTATTTTATGAAATACTCTGTAAGTCACCCCACTTTTGTGGTTAGGAATGCAAACACATGCAGCATATGAGCGGGACCTAACTTTTCATAAACTTTACATGGCTTTGGGCGCTTTTTTATTCTGGGTAGGGTTGGATGTGTGGTACTCCTTCACACACGGCCCATGTACGCGTACATAGACCCACCAGGCGAGCTTGTATACATACCCCCTAGGCTTGACTTGGTCGGGCACAACGTGTTACACGTCGCCGGACACCACAGAACAGAAAAGGGGTCGCATGATATCATGGCGAACATAAATATCATAATTCATTCTTTCGTATCATAAAGGGAAAGAATCCCGATTCACGTGACATACATATATGCATGAGGTCCCTTTACATATCTAACATGGCATTACATAAGCAGTGCTAACATCACATATACGTTTCTTACACTACATGGCATCTCACATGACTACATTACATGGCATATTACATAACATGAAAGTACATTCCAGTTGCATAAACATCTCATGACATGACTCGATAATTCTACGTTGATCTATGGCATCGATCAACATATTCATGGCATATAATACTAAAATCTCGTTCATAACTTCAGATAACATAAACAGTCAATAGTCAACAGTCAACATAATTCATACATCACTTAACATACACAATCTACAGTCAACACAATCTATACATCACATAAACATATCACATAAATATGGTGCATGCAAGGGCCACAGGGCACGTACCATCATACAACACGACAACACGTAGTAAGCTAACTCCAACAGTAAGGTCACTTACCTCAATGGTCTTGGTTGAAGTCACTCACAACGAGCTAATACCAGCGGTTAAATACATCCTATGATAACCACATAAAAACTTAGGAACCTTTCATAACATACCCTAGCTAAACCTCATGCTATTTATCAAAATAAACCCCCGACCTAATTTGTCTTTAACGTCTAGGAACCATACTGATCTTGAATGGTAAAACTAAGGGCAGAAACGGCTTTGGAAGGGTTGAAAACCTTGGAATTGATATGTTATAGTGATACCGAGTCACCAAGTTGAGCTGCCGAGCCGACCAACTAAGATGCCAAGCCGAGCCGCGGGATTTGACTGAGCCGAGCCGCCGTACACGTCAAGCTGAGCCGAGAGCACGCGTGCGGAGTCGAGACCAAGGCTGCAGCACGCGTCCATGTTGGGTCGAAACGCACAGGGCCCGCATCATTCGTAGGCCGGTTCAAAGGCCGAAACTCGAC